AATTTATTCATAATATCACAACAGCGGTACACGAACAAGGCCGTCGTGGCCCTGTTCGTTCAGTTTGGTTCAGCATCATTCATTCATAAAAATTAAACCAAGTACAATAGAAGAGAGTTCATAATTACAAGCCATATGGCTAACAAAGGAAAGAAAGACATTAAAAAAATACAGCCTGACCATAGGGTTAACACTAGAAGTAACTACATAGGTCCGATGTAACTAGAGGCAAGATTTCGGCAGAAACTTGGAGACGAAGACCACCGCGATGATGCCTGACTCTTCACTGTGTATGCTGCCAATGCATCAGCCACTCTATTCCTTCTTTATAGATGTGCGACACCCAGAAATAGACCATGTTTTCTAAATGGCCACGTCAAAGTTACCATTGACCACATAAGCCTAACTTATTTTTTATTGACCACAATGACCTTCTCAAAATGTAAAAGACGAAGATACCCTTAAGATGGGGACCATTGTAGGGACGTTTGGGCCATCTGGGCGGGATGCACGCTGGTCTGGTCAAAGGACATTGTGGAAAGAGGAAATAACATAAAAACTTAAACTTTTTAATTCAAAAATCAGGAATGAAGTTTATTTAATCAAAAATCAGGTATTAATTGGATATTTTATTAATTATTAACACATATAAAAATTAATTAATCTACATGTTCCATTTCCATACCCTAATTCATTTTCGTCTCCCCTTCTTCTCTCCATTCTCTCTCTCTACTCTATTTCTCTCTACCTTCCTTCTCTCTACCGACATCGGCTACTGTGAAATCTGGGTGTCACGGCTGTTGTGAAATCATCACTGCATCGATCTCAACGACGACTCAACGGTGTGAGCATCGAGCTCAACGGCTGCTGCGAAATCATCACAACGTCGCTCGCCTCTTCACTGTGAGCATCGATGTTTGCGCTCTCAACGGTGACTCGCGACGTGTGATTTTTGTATGTGGAAGCCGATTGTGTGTGTAAGTTCTGTGGTAGTCCTGGTCTTTCTGGAGTTGGGGACTCTTTTCAGATCGATGATGGTGTTTGGTGGGTAGATGATGGTGGTGGTTAACGGTGGTGGGCGGTTGGGCATGGTGTTGTGTGCAGTGTTTGTGGTGGTTTGGTGCGGTTCTGGTGTTGATGGTGTTTTGGTATTGTTGGGGGAGGTTTTAGGTATTTTTGTTGGTTGTGCAGGTAGATGTTCTGGTGGCTGTGGCGAATTTAGCTGAGATTTTGGTGAGGTCCTGGTGGCTGTGATGATTTCTGGCGGTCATGTCGATTGATGTATGTGACCAACTATTGGTAGATTGGGACCAGGGGTTGAGTTTTTGGTGTACGTGACCAACTATTTGGTGGTATGTGACCAACTATTTGGTTATCTGTGACCAAATATTTAATTGTGACCTAAAAAGTTGACAATATGTGACTGAAAAATAATCCGTGACCAACAAATTTGAAAATATGTGACCAATGAAATTAACCTTTTTTTATCTGTGACCTAAAAATTATATAATCTGTGACCGTAAAAAATCTGTGACCGTGTGACCTATAAAATTTGATATGTAACCAACTAGTTTTGAAATCTGTGACCAACGAATTAAATGTGACCTATAANTGACCAATGAAATTAACTATTTTTTTATCTGTGACCGTAAAAAATATATGACCAACTAATTTGGAAATATGTGACCGTGTGACCTAAAGATTTTGATCTGTGACCAACTAATTTTAAAATTTGTGACCAACGAATTAAATGTGGCCTATAAAATTTTTGAACTGTGACCATAAAATAATCTGTGACGTATAAAAATTATTATTTGTGATTGAAAAATAAAATGTGACTAATTAAATTATAAATCTATGATCGGAATGGTTGTCGGAATAGTCGCCGAAATCGGAGCAGTCGTCGGAATGGTCGCCACAGAAGAGTAGTGGTCGGAATAGTCACCGGAGCGGTAGGGGTAGTGCATGTGGGGTGGGTTTATTATATTATATTATAAAAAAAAAACCTGATTTTTGAATTTTCAAACTATAAACATAATTTTTGAATTTGTGTAAACTAAACACCT